GGCTAGGAGGATGAAGATTAATTCTGTTGTTGGCTCGTACCTTGATCCTCTTGCAGACAAGGTATAGTCTTTTGATCTAGTATGTGTTTTGTTTTGGCTCATTATTGGATGTTCTCTGAATGTGTTTAGGGGTTAAGATTGGTTTTACGTTTCAAGCTGAAGACATGTGTGAGGTTTTATTTCATCTCAGTTTTCTTGATTATACTTATGTTTAAATTCAGGTTCTTATTGGGTGTGTCGCAGTAGCAATGGTGCAGAAGATTACATGTATTTATATCAAGAAGATTACATGTATTAATATCGTCCTGTTGATCTCCTTGGACATACCTCTTATACAGATTACATGTATTTATATTAAGAGGAAACCTAACTAAGTTTACTAACTAATTGCTAAACTTGGCTTCGTTTGTTAGTTAATGGAGTCCTAGATTGCAATACTGCCTTTTAAACTTTAATACTAAAGCCATTTTTGGTGGATGCATGTGACATTTGTGCTCTGAAGCTGGACTGGTTGGTATTGTGGTGTTACGGGATGTTGCACTCGTCGGTGGTGCAGTTTACCTAAGGGCACTAAATTTGGACTGGAAGGTGAGTTCTTGTAACATCCCACTCAACTTATTCCTCTTGTTTCACAATATTGTTGTCCTGCTCGACCATATGCTATAACAAGAACGAACTGAAATTATTGGTGGGAATCCTATTGGTCTTGTTTCAGTGGAAGAGTTGGAGTGATTACTTCAACCTCGATGCTTCAAGCCCTCAGAAAGTAGAACCATTGTTTATAAGCAAGGTATGATCTCTAGGTGACAGCTTGTTCTCATCTTGGCATCTTTGACATGCGTTATTGGGTAGTTAATAGAACATATTCATCAACAGGTGAATACAGTTTTAAAGTTCCTGCTAATTAAGTTTTAAAGTTCTGAATTCAATGTTGTTAATTTTAATATTTGTATGCTTGATGTTTTTTATAATAATAATGTCAATTATTGTATGTTTTCTGTTTTTCAACTTTATAAACTTTGTAATAATAAAATCCAATGAATGGAATGATCTATGTTTTATTTCCATGTTTTTTATATAATTATAAAAATTAATTTTAAAATTTTAAAATATTATTAATTTAATAGAAGGACAAATAACATGAGACACCAATGCTCCTACACTCAAAATTTTAAAATGTCCTATGATCTAAATATTATAAAAAAAATTGAGGGACCAAGATTGGTATTACACCAATGCTGATGCTCTTATAATAAAGTCTCTCGCCGTACGTCCCAAGAGCAAATATAACACAATCATGAATAGAGGGGAAAACTCAGATTTCATCCCTATTGATCTCATTCTTGAGATACTCTCGAGACTGCCTGCAAAGTCAATAGCTAAGTTTCACTGCGTGTCGAAGCTATGGCGGTCCTTGCTTTGCAAGCCATACTTCACAGAGTTGTTCATGACTAGGTCATCGTCTCGTCTACGTCTCTTAATTGCGGTCCAACAAGAAGCTGAGGTGTTTATGTTTACGTCGCCTCAGCCTCAGAATCCGTCGTCTCTTGTTGTCTCCGCTGAGTTTCATACTAAGATCTCTTTTAACTCAATCAACTACTATGGTTGTAGATATGCCTCTGGTTTGCTCTATTTCCCTACTCTACGTTTCTCAAAGGAGATCAGACAGCGTGCAATGCAAATGATATGTAACCCTAGCACCGGGCAGCGTGCGATCTTACCTGAACCGAGAGAAACGTACACAAACAGAAGAAGCGATCATGGCTTTTTGGGGTTCGATCCTATTGGCAAGCAATTCAAGGTTTTGGCCATGTTCAATAGTGTCAATGATCATAGTATCCTGACATTAGGAACTGAAAAACTGAGTTGGAGGACGATCCAATCTCCCTCGTATATTAGTTATCATACACCTATAGATAATGGGATATGCATCAATGGGATTTTGTATTACTCAGCTCAAGACCCTTTTAGGGATCGTTTTATAATTTGCTTTGATGTTAGGTCAGAGGAATTTAAGGTTGTAGGTCATGAATGCGATTTTAGTTGGACTACTAATTTGGTAAACTATAAGGGTAAATTAGGTGTGATTGAACACGACTTGACGGATGGTCTAATTAAGTTACAAATGTGGGTTCTTGAGGATATTGATAAAAATGAATGGTCTAAATTATATGACTACATTTTGAAGACGACTGAGAATAAAGTTGTTAAGGATATCACTTATCTTTCGGTTGTTGGGGTGACTGCTTCAGGTGAAATTGTTTTAGCTGATTATGATGATGCATGTGAACCGTTTTATGTTTTCTATTTTAATCCCGAAAAGAACACTCTCCGAAGTGTTGAAATCCAAGGTGTTAGACAAGAAGGAGTAAAATGGATTAATGCTCGTCATGAAGTTCAAATATTTTTAGACCATGTAGAGGATCTTAACTTGGATGTTATGAAGCTGCAACATCTATAAGCCGACCAGAACAAAAGCACATCAACATCATCTGAAGATGATCATCATGTGAGGTACGTTTGAGAGTATTAACAAATTTTGATAGCCTCCCTTGCTCCCCCAAATCACTTAAATGCTCTCATCTCTCTGTAAATTGCAATCTATAAAGTTCTTAAGAAGTTAAGTTTTTAATTCAAGTCAGAGTCATGGCTGAAGTTGTGATCTTCTTAATATTTATAATCTATAGTCTATAAACTATTTTTCCTCTGAGTCTTACACTTCTCAGTTACAGATTTCGTGTTCTTTTTGGTTAGCTTGCTCATGTGCTAAGTGTGTTACTTGGGAGAAAAAAATTAATTTATTATTGATAGTTTTTTTCTGAGATTTTTATAATATTCTTGTGTTTCCTTGACTATGTTTGTTTCCGATATTACTAGACCATATATACCTGAACACATTTGCTAATACTTTTATAATACTGTTGTTATATATAATCCCTAAATATTGTATGAAAAAACTGGATTCGTATAACATTTGCTAAATTTTCTTTTGCATGTATAATCTCTTGGTTGTTTATACTCAATCGTAATTCTACTCTTGATCGTTTGTCTACTTTGTGGCTTAGCTCACGAATGGCGAAATCATCTGTTTTTTAAATGTGCATATTCAACATAGATTAGGTTCTGTTTTCAAGTTTCCTAGTTACTAGTTTATTTCTTATATTTCTAGTTCTAATAGTTCTATATTACTTCTTTTTATTCTTTTTAGTGTTTTATTTTAGAAAACCCTTTACCAAAAAAAATTAGAAAAAATTGGAAAAAGAAGGGATAATGCATACTATAAATTAATGTAAATCGGTTCTCCTTTGAGAAATTTTAAAATTTTATAAGAGACTTTCTGTACATATGTTAACATTTAACTGGTTTAAATTTTTTATTATAATATTTTAAAAACAACTAAAATAACTTTTATTATTAAAAATATATATATCTGAGAGACTTGGCGCACACTACTCATATTCTCTTATTTATATGCTTTGGTTTTCAACTTTTTCTCTATATATTCCATTTAATATATTTTTTTTCTCTTATAATTTTGTAAAATCTAAAACCGAAAACTAAAATCCTAATTTCTAAAATCGAAAACCATAATCCAAAAAAAGACTTCAAACGACAAAGCATTCAAATATTCTTATATAATTTTCCTTTTCTAAAATAATTTACATATATGAAAATTGGTTCCAAATATTTAACAGTTTTTTATTATGATTGAACTAGGGTTTTCTTTTGGTTAAACCGATCGGTTTATGCCTTGAAACCATTATTTATTTGGGAATCAAGCCAAACCTGAAAACTCCATAATCCATCCATTGAGTCTCTCTCCGTCAGATAAGCAAATACAATACACGATCATGAATAAAGGAGAAAACTCAGACTCCATCCCTATTGATCTCATTCTTGAGATACTCTCGAGATTGCCTGCAAAGTCAATCAAGAAGTTTCAGTGTGTGTCGAAGCTATGGCGTTCCTTGCTTTGCAAGCCATACTTCACCGAGTTGTTCTTGACTAGGTCATCGTCTCGTCCACGTCTCTTAATTGGGGTCAAACAAGACAGTGAGTGGTTTTTGTTTTCGTCGCCTCAGCCTCAGAATCCATCCTCTCCTGTCGTCTCCGCTGATTCTCACATGAAGATCTTTTTTGACTTAAAGTACTATGAAAGTTGTAGGTATGCCTCTGGTTTGCTCTATTTCCCTAGTCTACGTACATCCAAGGAGTATGATAATGATACGAATAAAATACATGCCATATGTAATCCTAGCACAGGACAGTTTGCGATCTTACCTGAACCTAGAACAAACAGAGGGTGTGGTGGCTTTCTCGGGTTCGATCCGATTGGCAAGCAATTCAAGGTTTTGGTCAATGGTCGTTATGTCCTAACATTAGGAACTGAAAAACTGAGTTGGAGGCTCATCCAATGTCCGTTTATTCCCTATAATGAATTTATAGGTAATGGGATATGCATCAATGGGGTTTTGTATTACTTAAGTTACAACGGGGATTATTGGTTAAGTTGCTTTGATGTTAGGTCTGAGAAAGTTAAGTTAGTTGGTGCAAGCACACTTGGCTATATTCATTGGCAAACTAAATTGATAAACTTTAAAGGTAAATTAGGTTTGGTTAATACATGGCATACTTATTGTGGTGGATTTCCCCTTGATTTACGTATGTGGGTTCTTGAAGATATTGATAAACAGAAAATTTCTGCATATGACTATACTTTAAGGACTGATAATGGTATAGTCTTTAAGGATGGCGACTATATTTCTGTTGTTGGGGCGACGGCTTCTGGTGAAATTGTTTTGGTGAAGAATAAGGCAACTGAACCGTTTTATGTTTTCTATTTTAATCCCGAGAGGAACATTCTCCGAAGTGTTGTAATCCAAAGTGTTCGACAAAAAGGGAAAGAATGGTCTACCCATCATCAAGAAGTTCACGTCTTTGTAGACCATGTAGAGGATCTTAATTTTGATGTTATGAAGGCAATAGATGCTGCAACGTCTATAAGCCGACCAGCACAACAACATCAGCAACAACAACATCTATAAGCCGATCGTTAAGTTAGGATATATAGTTGCTCACATGCAACAAGATCGTGTTACGTTTGAGAGAGTTAGCAGATCTGGTCATGATGCTATGCGTCTCGATTGCATAGAAGTTGTATTTTCTCTTCTAACCTTCTGCTCATTGTGTTATCTAATTAAAACGCTGAGTCTTATAGCTATTTTGCCTGAGAAGTATTTGCACTTCTCATTTACAGGCTTCGTGTTTTGACGATTTTGATGCCCTAATAATTTTAACGATTCAAGGGGTGAGACTTTTTTTATTTTATTTTATGAATAAGAATGCCGCAAGAGCGGACTATGCACTAGACGATAATGATGAACAAGAATTTTTTCATTTGTTTTAGATGTTATCTAAAAAGCTGTGTAAGTGCTTGATAATGATGTAAAAGCCATGCAGCCAAAAAAAAAAAAAAAAAAAAAAAAAAAAAACCCTATAAACTACAAGACACAAATAATCCACACCGATACTTCGGAATTGAATGTTTTAGGTTCTTAAACTAGTTTTGAAGTGTAATTGAAGTGTAAGGAGCACGTTAGCTACCATCAAAGAATTGAGATTGTTTTATGGGTACGATATATTGAATTCATATTATTAGAATTTATGAGAACATGATTTAGTATGAATTACAAAAGTTCAAACTCTTGAAACTTGATTATAATTTAGATATATAAAAGTTTATTTCAAATGTTAAGTAATTATAGCTGGTAATTGATAATAAGGGTTTTTATTTGGTGAGATGATATATATATATATACATATATAAGTTGTAATTAAGTCGGTTTGAGTCCGAACGGAACCGAAAAGAATTAACAATAGGATACTGATCGGTTTATGGCTTCTTAATAACGAAACCAAACCAAATGAACCAAACCTTTGATTTGGTTTTGCATAGATCGCAAGTGTGCTAGGGTTAGTTATATATATATATATATATTAGTCTCTCTCCGTCGAATGAATAAAGATAACAGAAACATGAAAAGACGAGGAAACTCAGATTCCATCCCTATTGATCTCATTCCTGATATACTCTCGAGATTGCCAGAAAAGTCGATCGCTAGGTTTAGCTGCGTGTCAAAGCTATGGCGTTCCTTGCTTCTCAAGCCATACTTCACCGAGTTGTTCTTGACTAGGTCGTCGTCTCGTCCACGTCTCTTAATTGGGGTCGAAGAGCTATATGACGCTGAGTGGTTTTTCTTTACGTCGCCTCAGTCTCAGAACCCGTCGTCTCTTGTTGTCTCCGCTGATTTTCATACAAAGATCTCTTTTGAGAGAATCATCTACAATGGTTGTGGATATGCCTCTGGTTTGCTCTATTTCCCTAGTATACGTTTCTCAAAGGAGATGGGACAGTACGTAAGGCAAGTGATATGTAACCCTAGCACGGGACAGTATGCGATCTTACCTGAACCGGGAGAAACATACAGAGGGGGTGGTGGCTTTCTAGGGTTTGACCCGATTGGCAAGCAATTCAAGGTTTTGGTCAATGGTCGTTATATCCTGACATTAGGAACTGAAAAATTGAGATGGAGGACCATCCAATGTCCTTCAATTCCTTATCATAAACTTTCATGTAATGGGATATGCATCAATGGGGTTTTGTATTATATAAGTTACAACAAAAGAAAAAGAAAAAGTTACGAGGAGCATCATCTTTTAAGTTGCTTTGATGTTAGGTCTGAGAAAGTTAAGTTTGTACGTTCAAACAAAGATTGCTATTTTCATTGGCAAACTAAATTGGTAAACTTTAAGGGTAAATTAGGTTTGATTAATACGGAGCAGGACTATCATGGTGGATTTCCCCTTAAGTTACATATGTGGGTTCTTGAGGATATCGATAAACGGGAATTTTCTGAGTATGTCTATACTTTAAGGACTGATGATGTTAAAGTCGTTAAGGATATCGACTATATTTCCGTTGTTGGGGCGACAGCTTCTGGTGAAATTGTTTTGGGAAAAGATAAAGCATATGAACCGTTTTATGTTTTCTATTTTAACCCCGAAAGAAACACTCTCCGAAGTGTTGAAATCCAAGGTGTTCGACAAGAAGGGGTTAATCATGTAGTTCACGTCTTTGTAGACCATGAAGAGGATCTTAAGTTTGATGTTATGAAGGCAATATATGCTGCATCATCTGAAGAAGATCAGTAAGTGAGGATAGTTGCTCACATGCAACAAGATCGTGTTACGTAGCTCGCATGAAAATAAGTTTTTTTTGTTTCTTTTTCAAGTTAGATTTGAGTTTTGTAACTGGTTCAGCGACATATTGAAATAAAAGAGATAGTTTTGAGAAGAATAGCTACAACAAACCAAAATGAAGAACAAAGAGAAGGTTTTCAAAGCCAATATCATGGTACTCATCGAACATCCCAAACTTTTACTCAAGATAATATTTTCAAGGGGTAGGTTTATTATTAAGAGTTTAAGATTTAACTAGAATTTACTCCGTGGTACACCACATGTCCATTATTTATTGTTTCACTCTAATATAAAACATTCGTCGTTGTATTTTACCACATGTATATGGAGAGTTCGTTGAGCATAAAATTGTAGATATGTATAGGGATTATTCATTGTTTGTGGTATGATGATAGATATAAGTATATAATCCCCTTTTTATTAAAATAAAAAGGAAGTACATTAATATAATCCTTTTTATTAAAAAGGAAGTACATTATAAAAGAAACCTCACAAATGGTATGTAATTACATTCAAATGTCATTACAAATTTAGGTTTTAAAGAATGAATTAGTAATAATCATTAAGGATAAAAATGTGAAATACTAATTTTTTCAATTTAATTAAATTATATAAACGAAAATACCTTATTATTATTTTTATAAATCAATGACCTCAAAATAAACATAAAATACATCTAACTTATCATATTATTTTCTTATTAATTATTAAACTTCACCTTTCATCTTTGGGAAAAATGTCATAAAAATCCCAAACTTTCAAATTTGGGACGATTTAATCCCGAACTTTAAAGAAGTCATTTTAATCACAAAGTTTTGTTGACTTTTCCGTAAAATAGCTAAGTTTTGTTGACTTAGCCGGTTTAAACACGACGTTTAGTTTCTCTTAAAATTGCAAAGACGGGGTTAACTATCCGTGAATTGCTTCCGTTTCAAAAACAAATAACTCATCTTATCATTTATATAATAATAAAAATGTAGATTTGTTTTCTACAAATGCCATGATTTGAATTTTTGAAAACGAATATAAAATTTTCTATTTATAAAAATAAAATTGTAACAGGTCAACAATTCAAACTTAAATTTATATATAATTTATAATTTTAGTAATACTTCAATAAAAGTTGAGAAATTGTTAGAAATGCCCCTTTTGATATGTCTCTTTTTAAAAATACCCCTTTCTTTTGCTATTTTTATATCTACCCTTTTTTATTTTTAAAAATAACGGGTCAAAATTTAAATATATACAATGTATAATTTATATACAACAATAAACTCATAAATCTTTTAATTTGGAACATGTAAAAATAATTTAACTTAATATTTTTTAAAGTATCATAAAAATCTTAGATAAAAATAAAATTAAAAATACTCTAATTTTGTTCTTTTCAAACAAAATATTTAAAATATTTGTTCCAAGTGTGACGAGTTAACTGTAAATTTTTATATGATATAATAAATTATTACCCTTATAACAAGCATCGATAATAACTATAACTAACATAACATATCAAAAACTTTGTTTAAAAATATAAAATAAATAAAATTAAGTATAAAAAATATAAAGTAGTATCATGTAATGTTGATGTTACTATATTGTATTTGTCTGGTTCAAATATTTGTTGAACCAATTAATTTTGTAATAGTTTTATATGATGGATGAACTAAAAACAAATTTTATGGAAATTCATGAGAAAGTCCTTGGAAGTAAAGATCGTATTTTACTATTATATTAATATAGAGGAAGATCTTAATAACTACAATATTAAAAAGTAAAGTGTCAAAATTCCAAATAAATTTGAAATAAATTAACAAATGTAACAAAATAGGTCGCAAGTCCCAAGCGCCAGGTTATTAATTTATTATATATAGTCTCTCTCCGTACGTCCGATGAGCAAATATAACACAATCATGAAAAGACGAGGAAACTACTCCATCCCAACTGATCTCATTCCTGAGATACTCTCGAGACTGCCAGAAAAGTCAATAGCTAGGTTTCACTGCGTGTCGAAGCTATGGCGTTCCTTGCTTTGCAAGCCATACTTCACCGAGTTGTTCTTGGCTAGGTCGTCGTCTCGTCCACGTCTCTTAATTGCGGTCCAACAAGAAGATGAGTGGTTTTTTTTTTCGTCACCTCAGCCACAGAATCCGTCGTCTCTTGTTGTCTCAGCTGATTTTCATACGAAGATCTCTTTTGACTTAAGCTATCGTTGTACATATGCCTCTGGTTTGCTCTATTTTCCCTAGTATGAGTATGAGTACCTCAGATGATGAAACACATGCCATATGTAACCCTTGCACGGGACAGTATGCGATCTTACCTGAACCTAGAACAGATAGACGGGGTGGTGGCTTTCTAGGGTTTGATCCGATTGGCAAGCAATTCAAGGTTTTGGTGAATGGTCGTTATATCCTAACATTAGGAACTGAAAAACTGAGGTGGAGGACCATCCAGTGTCCTTCAATTCCTTTTCATAGAGTTATAGGTAATGGGATATGCATCAATGGGGTTTTGTATTACTTAAGTGACTACCCGCATCATTTCTTAAGTTGCTTTGATGTTGGGTCTGAGAAAGTTAAGTTTGTAAACAGAAAATTTGATTTTCATTGGCAAACTAAATTGATAAACTATAACGTTAAATTAGGTTTGATTAATACGGAGCAGACTTCTCGTGGTGGATTTACATATGTGGCTTCTTGAAGATATCGATAAACAGGAATTTTCTGAATATGTCTATACTTTAAGGACCGATGATGATAAAGTCGTTAAGGATGGCGACTACTTTTGGGCTGCTGGGGCGACCGCTTCTGGTGAAATTGTTTTGGTGAAAATTAATGCATATGAACCATTTTATGTTTTCTATATTAATCCCCAAAGGAACATTCACCGAAGTGTTGAAATACAAGGTGTTCGACAAGAAGGAGTAGAATGGTCTGACGATTATCATGAAGTTCACTTCTTTGTAGACCATGTAGATGATCTTAACTTTGATGTTATGAAGGTAATATATGGTGCATCATCTAATGTAAGCCGATCGACGAGCAGGTCAACATCATCTGAAGAAGATCACTAAGTGAGGATAGTTGCTCACATGCAACAAGATCGTGGTACGTATGAGAGTGTTAGCAAATCTGATCATGCTCTGCGTCTTTCAAGAATATCCCCAACTAATTTGAATTTAAGGTTGTGTCCCATGTCCGTTAAATCAGATTAAAACCATTGTCAATGTTTTTTTTGTGTGTGTGTGTGGCTATAGAGACAGATGCTAAAAAGCAAGAACTGGAACTATGCAGGGGTTATCGTGTTCTTGTCCTAATTGGGTTACTTGGGAGATATATAACTTTAATTTTCTTTATCCAAAGTTATTTTCTGAGAAACAATGTGCTTCAAACTGTTGACATGACTAGATGATACCCGAATACAACCGTTGTTATAATCCCTAAATATCGTATGAAAAATAACTGCATCTATATATATAACATTTGCTAAATTGGAAGAAGAGTGATAAATTTTCCAAGTAATTTACCAAGTCTTTGAATCCTAATTAATCCCTATCCTGAAAAAACCATATTATTTATTATAAGGATATGATATGATTCAGTATAAAATCTAAAAATTCAAACTCTTGGTTATACTTTTAGATATTTCAAATGTTTATAGTTGTGATTAATATAATGAAAGGTTCTACTTGGTGAACCGATCTATTTTAGTTTTTAGTCGGCTTGAATGGAACGGAACCGAAGAGGTCTAAATGTTAAATAGTATAGTTTCCATAATTCTGAATAAGTTTGAAGAAAGTGTCCAATATGCCAATTCACCCGAAAAAATAATAATAACAAAGCCAAACCCATAGATCACAAGTGATAGGGTTTATTTATATATTAGTCTCTCTCCATAGAATTAATAAAGAGATAACACAAACATGAAAAGACGAAGAAACTCAGATTCCATCCCTATTGATCTCATTCCTGATATACTCTCAAGATTGCCAGAAAAGTCAATCGCCAGGTTTCAGTGCGTGTCGAAGCTATGGCGGTCCTTGCTTCTCAAGCCATACTTCACAGAGTTGTTCATGACTAGGTCCTCGTCTCGTCCACGTCTCTTAATTGGGGTGAAACAAGACAGTGAGTGGTTTTTGTTTTCGTCGCCTCAGCCTCAGAATCCATCGTCTCTTGTTGTCTCTGCTGATTTTCATAAGAAGATGTCTTTTGACTCAATCTACAACGACGATTGTAGCTATGCCTCTGGTATGCTCTACTTCCCTAATATACGTACATCATATGAGGATGGCGATGCAATGCATGCGATATGTAACCCTAGCACGGGACAGTATGCGATCTTACCTGAACCTAGAGGAACGAACAGAGGGGGTCGTGGCTTTCTAGGGTTCGATCCGATTGGCAAGCAATTCAAGGTTTTGGTCAATGGTCGTTATATCCTGACTTTAGGAAGTGAAAAACTGAGTTGGAGGACCATCCAATGTCCTTCAATTCCTTTTCGTAAACTTATATATAATGGGATATGCATCAATGGGGTTTTGTATTATATGAGTTACAACAAAAGAAAAAGAAAAAGTTATGAGGAGCATTATCTTTTAAGTTGCTTTGATGTTAGGTCTGAGAAAGTTAAGTTTGTAGGTTCAAACAAAGACTGTTATTTTCATATGCAAACTAAATTGGTAAACTATAAGGGTAAATTAGGTTTGATTAATAGGGAGCAAGACTATGGTGGTGGATTTCCCCTTAAGTTACATATGTGGGTTCTTGAGGATATCGATAAACGGGAATTTTCTGCATATGTCTATACTTTAAAGATTGATGATGATAAAGTCGTTAAGGATAGCGACTATATTTCCGTTGCTGGGGCGACTGCTTCTGGTGAAATTGTTTTGGTGAAGAAGTATAATGCATGTGAACCGTTTTATGTTTTATATTTTAACCCCGCAAGAAACACTCTCCGAAGTGTTGAAATCCAAGGTGTTCGACAAGATGGGGTAGAATGGTCTAACGATCATCATGAAGTTCACGTCTTTGTAGACCATGGAGAGGATCTTAAGTTTGATGTTATGAAGGCAATATATGCTGCATCATCTATAAACTGATCGACCAGCACATCAACATCATCTGAAGATGATTAGTAAGTGAGGATAGTTGCTCACATGCAACAAGATCGTGGTACGTATGAGAGCGTTAGCAAATCTGATCATGCTCTGCGTCTTTCAGAATATATATATGTCTATACTTTAAAGACTGATGATGATAAAGTCCAAAGGATGGCGACTACTTTGGCGTTGTTGGGGCGACCGCTTCTGGTGAAATTGTTTTGGTGAAGAAGTATAATGCATGCGAACCGTTTTATGTTTTGTATTTTAATCCCGAAAGTAACATTCTCCCAATTGTCGAAATCCAAGGTGTTAGACGAGAAGGGAAAGAATGGTGTGATGATTCTCATGAAGTTCACGTCTTTGTAGACCATGTAGATCAGGATCTTAACTTTGATGTTATGAAGGCAAGAGATGCTGCAACATCTATAAGCCGACCAGAACAAAGCTAAGCACGTCATGTCGTCATGTAAAGAAGATCATCACCCTTGCTTCACCTGCAGCAACAAGTCACCTCTATATGTTAACGTCATGTAATCTAAAAATTCAAGTTGAGTTGACTTCTTGATATTAATAAACATAAGAGTTAAAGTATTTTGCCAGGAAGTTTTATTTGATTCAATTTTACAAGTGATAGTAGTTCGATTGGTAAACATCTCTGGCAAAATCTTAGAGATCGCCGATTCGAATAGCGATTAGGACGAGACCATATAACATGCTCTTGGGACTAAGAGAATGTATGAGATTCAAAAAAATATATATATTTTGCCTGGAAGTGTTAGTGTGACCTCTATAACAATTTGGTAGCCTAGTGGTTTGGTTTTGATTTCGGTTTAAATTTGTTTCGGTATGCAAAACTAAACCGGATCAATTAAATCCCTTGTACCAATTTTAATTTGGTGAAGCGCGCTTGTCAATGGAATGGCTCGTGTTTACATGGAGACGATGATACAGAGATGCGTCACCTTCTCTCAGATCAAACAACTCCAATCTCATTTCCTCACCGCCGGCCATTTTCAATCTTCCTTCCTCCGTTCTCGTCTTCTCGATCGCTGCGCAGTTTCGCCCTTCGGAGACCTTTCGTTCGCCGTAAAAATCTTCCGGCGGATTCCTAAACCTTTTACCAATGATTGGAACGCGATCATTCGCGGATTCGCCGCTAGTTCTCAGCCATCTCTCGCGTTTTCGTGGTATCGTTCCATGTTGCGGCAGTCTTCGTCGTCGTCTGCTCTGTGTAGAGTCGATGCTTTGACTTGTTCTTTCACTCTTAAAGCTTGTGCGCGTGCGCTTTGTTCTTTAGCTACGGTTCAGATTCATGGTCAGATTAGTAGTCGTGGGTTTTTAGCTGATGCGCTTCTTTGTACTACGTTGCTTGATGCTTACTCTAAAAATGGAGATTTGGTTAGTGCGCAGAAGTTGTTCGATGAAATGTCTGTGAGAGATGTTGCGTCGTGGAATGCGTTGATCTCGGGGTTAGTATCGGGGAATAGAGCGAACGAGGCGTTGGATTTGTATAAACGAATGGAAGTGGAAGGGATTAGGAGAAATGAAGTGACTTTTGTTGCTGCTTTGGGAGCTTGTTCTCACTTGGGTGCTATTAAGGAAGGTGAAAAGATATATAGTTACTTTAAAAATGCAAACTTGGATCATAATGTGATTGTTAACAACGCGGCTATCGATATGTATTCGAAATGCGGGTTTGTTGATAAAGCTTTTGAAGTGTTTGATCAAATCACGGGGAAGAAGAGCGTTGTTACATGGAACACTATGATTATGGGGTTTGCGGTGCACGGAGAAGCACACAGAGCGATAGAGATATTTGAGGAATTGGAGAAGAATGGTATCAAGCCTGATGATGTCTCGTACTTAGCTGCTTTAACCGCTTGCAGACACGCAGGATTAGTGGATTACGGGACATCAGTGTTCAACAACATGGCTCGGAACGGAGTCGAGCCTAATATGAAGCACTACGGTTGTGTGGTTGATCTGTTAGGCCGTGCAGGAAAGCTGAGAGAAGCGTACGATATAATATGCTCGATGTCGATGATTCTGGATCCTATTTTGTGGCAGAGCCTCCTTGGAGCGTCAGAGATTCACAAGAATGTCGAAATGGCTGAGATAGCTTCGAGGAAAGTGATGGAAATGGGTGTTAACAACGACGGTGATTTCGTGTTGCTATCCAACGTTTATGCAGCGCAAGGACGGTGGAAGGACGTAGGACGAGTGAGAGATGATATGGAGACCAAACAAGTGAAGAAAATCCCCGGTCTTAGCTACATAGAAGCCAAAGGAACGATTCATAAATTCTACAACAGTGACAAAATCCATGAACAGTGGAGAGAGATTTATGAGAAGATCGACGAGATCAGGTATCACAAACAAAATATAACAGCTCTAATGCTTTTGGATTTTACTCTTAACGGGTTTTGGTTGATGTGGTTAGGTTCAAGATAAGGGAGGATGGATACGTAGCGCAGACAGGACTCGTGTTGCACGACATTGGAGAAGAAGAGAAAGAGAACGCTTTGTGCTATCACAGCGAGAAATTGGCAGTGGCTTACGGACTAATGATGATAGATAGTGCGGAAGAGGAGAGTCCAGTGAGAGTTATAAAGAACCTGAGAATTTGTGGGGACTGTCACGTTGTTTTCAAACATATATCAAAGATTTATAATAGAGAGATCATTGTTAGGGATCGAGTTCGATTTCATAGGTTCAAAGATGGTTCTTGTTCTTGCAAAGATTATTGGTGATGTTACAAAGTTACTTAAGAGGGTGGTGATGATTATGCTCTTGCGGCGTTCTTGTTTTTTTTTTCTTTTATGATAATTTGCAAGAGGACGAAGAGAAGTTATTGTTCACAAAATAAAACTTAAAAAAGTGTCATCCCTTGAATCGTTAAAATTATTAAAACATGAAGCAATCGAGACAGAACAAGACGATCAGATTTGCTGACGCTTTTAGACGCAACTATATATCCATCCTCACGTTTGATGGTCTTCTTCAGATGATGTTGACCTGGCTTATAGATGATGCAGCATCTATTGCTTTCATAACATCAAAATTAAGATCCTCTACATGGTCTACAAAGACGTGAACTTCTTGATGATGGGTAGACCATTCTTTCCCTTCTTGTCGAACACCTTGGATTTCAACACTTTGGAGAGTGTTCCTTTCGGGATTAAAATAGAAAACATAAAACGGTTCATATGCACTATTCTTCACTAAAACAATTTCACCAGAAGCCGTCGCCCTAACAACAGAAATATAGTCGCCATCCTTAAAGACTATACCATTATCAGTCCTTAAAGTATAGTCATATGCAGAAATTTTCTGTTTATCAATATCTTCAAGAACCCACATACGTAAATCAAGGGGAAATCCACCACAATAAATATGCCATGTATTAACCAATCCTAAGTTACCTTTATAGTTTATCAATTTAGTTTGCCAATGAATATAGCCAAGTGTGCTTGCACCAACTAACTTAACTTTCTCAGACCTAACATCAAAGCAACTTAACCAATAATCCCCGTTGTAACTTACGTAATACAAAACTCCATTGATGCATATCCCATTACCTATAAATTCATTATAAGGAATAAACGGACATTGGATGAGCCTCCAACTCAGTTTTTCAGTTCCTAATGTTAGGACATAACGACCATTGACCAAAACCTTGAATTGCTTGCCAATCGGATCGAACCCGAGAAAGCCACCACACCCTCTGTTTGTTCTAGGTTCAGGTAAGATCGCAAACTGTCCTGTGCTAGGATTACATATGGCATGTATTTTATTCGTATCATTATCATACTCCTTGGATGTACGTAGACTAGGGAAATAGAGCAAACCAGAGGCATACCTACAACTTTCATAGTACTTTAAGTCAAAAAAGATCTTCATGTGAGAATCAGCGGAGACGACAGGAGAGGATGGATTCTGAGGCTGAGGCGACGAAAACAAAAACCACTCACTGTCTTGTTTGACCCCAATTAAGAGACGTGGACGAGACGATGACCTAGTCAAGAACAACTCGGTGAAGTATGGCTTGCAAAGCAAGGAACGCCATAGCTTCGACACACACTGAAACTTCTTGATTGACTTTGCAGGCAATCTCGAGAGTATCTCAAGAATGAGATCAATAGGGATGGAGTCTGAGTTTTCTCCTTTATTCATGATCGTGTATTGTATTTGCTTATCTGACGGAGAGAGACTCAATGGATGGATTATGGAGTTTTCAGGTTTGGCTTGATTCCCAAATAAATAATGGTTTCAAGGCATAAACCGATCAGCATCCCTCGGTTCTGTTTGGATTTAAACCGAGTTAAAACTGAAACTGATCGGTTTTACCAAAACAAAACCCTAGTTCAATCATAATAAAAACCCTGATACTTACCACAAAGACAAACTATAAAACATTGGGAAAAATGCCATAAAAATCCTGGAGAGTACGATTTCGTTGGTTTAAATCCCGAACTTTCCAACTGTTGATTTAAATCACAAACTTTCTGTTTACTCTCTCTTTAATATGAAATTTTAATTGACTTTGCCAATTTAGGCACATCGTTAAATCGCCAAACGGAGCAATTAAACGGGTTTGAATGTCATTAACCAAATCCGTCAAATACAAAATG